TAAGATAAATCAATCTCAGATTCTTCCCTTAGTCTTCTGATCTTGTCAAACGGTCTTTGCTGGTCTGAGCGAGGCAGAACAAGAGCAGTAAATGTACTTAACTTCCCTTGGCACAGGTCTGGGTCTAACTATGTGACTGTGTGAACATGAAAGGTTGTCTCAAATGTTATAAATTATGTTTTTGATTTTACAGTGTTTGAATAAGTAGTCAAGAGTCATACATTATAACTGATTGCTATATCTCTTAAGTCAATAGCTTATTCTCTTTTTCTCTACGATTTATTTGAAGAAAACAGGTCAGATGTTCAGCAGAGTTTCTAATTTTTTTTTAAGATTTTATTTATTGGAGAGAGAGAGAGAGAGAACATGAGCAGGGGAAAGGAGGTAGAGGGAGGGAGAAGCAGGTTGCCCAACACGGGGCTTGATCTCAGGACCCTGAGATTAAGACCTGAGCCAAAGGCAGATGCTTAACTGACCTGAGCCACCCTTGCGCCCCCTAGAGTTTCTGATTTTGATGATGACATCCACGTAATACTGTTTATTGTTGTTACTGTTTTTTGTATTTCCTATCTATTGCTACTTAGATCTAGAGGCTTATCAACGTTCAATATTTTTAGGGGAGAGGTAGGAAAACTCCTTCACAGTGGAATTTTGATCTTATGCTAAGAGATACACATCATTTGTGGGTGCCTGAGTGGCTCAGTCTTTAGGCGCCTTCGGCTCAGGTCACAATTCCAGGGTCCTAGGATTGAGCCCCACATTGGGAGGCTTGCTTCTCCTCCTCCCACTCCCTCTGCTTGTGTTCCCTCTCCCACAGTGTCTCTCTCTGTCAAATAAATAAATAAAATCTTAAAAAGAGAGAGAGAGAGAGATACATGTCATCTAATTTTCTTTATTTTTGAGATACTAACAACTATTGGTGATTAATGACTAAACCCATTAATTTATAAGGTTTACAAAGTGGTGATACCATTCTATTATTCTTCCTTAATTTATTACCTGAAATACTTTCATAAAGAGATACTTTCTCTAATATACTATTTGGTTATCTGTTGGTATTGTCAGGTAAGATATATACTTCATTCTTTCCTTTTATTAACCAGTTCTCAGAATAATGAATTAATTCACTAGAATAGTCCAATGGTGACCAATTAGTTTCTTAAAGTATCAATACAAACTCATGAATTTAAATATTGGATAGATTTCAAATGAAATTCTTTTCCTGCATCAGTTACGATGATTCATTCTTTAATCTCTTTTTTTTTTAAGGGGTGGGGGAGAATCTTAAACAGGCTCTATGCCCAGTGCAAGCCCCATACAGGACTCTATCTCACAACACTGAGATCACAACTGGAGCCAAAATCAAGAGTCGGAAGCTTAACTGACTGACTGAGGCACCCAGGTGCCCCTAATCTCCTTTGGTTAACATACTGAATTATATACATTGATTTTTTTTAAACATTTCATTTATTTATTTGACAGAGATCATAAGCAGGCTGAGAGACAGGCAGAGAGAGCAGAGAGCCTGATGTGGGGATGCGGGGCTCGATCCCACCCTGGGATCATGACCTGAGCTGAAAGCAGAGGCTTTAACTGAGCCACCCAGGCGCTCCCTATACATTGATTTTTAATGGTAAACCAACCATGTATTCCTTTTTTTCCCCTTAACTTTTTAAAAAAGATTTTATTTTTATTTATTTGACAGAGAAAGAGAGAGAGAGTGAGAGCATGACAAGGGAGAAGGTCAGAGAGAGAAGGAGACTCCCCATGGAGCTGGAAGCCCAATGTGGGACTTGATCCCAGGAGTCCGGGATCATGACCTGAGCTGAAAGCAGTTGCTTAAGCAACTGAGCCACCCAGGTGCCCCAACCATGTATTTCTAGCAGAAACCCAAACTGGTCACAGGGGTAATTTAAAATATATGTATTGCTTGATTTAGATTGCATATATTTCATTTAGGACATCTGTATCTGTATTCATAACTAAAACTGGCCTATACTTGTCTCATATTGTCATTGCTAAGTTTTGGTATCAAAGTTACACAATCCTCAAACTGAGGTAGTGACTGTTTGTTTTCCTTTTCTCTGAGAGAAATTGTAGAAGAGGAATTATTTTTCCTCGAACGTTTGGTAAAAATTGTTTTAAAACTGCTAGGGCCCACTGCTCATTTGCTTACTTGCTTACTAAAATGTTTTAAATTAAAAATTATACAAATACACACACAGAAAAGTTCATAAATTTTAAGTATACAACTTAATTCTTTACCACAATAGCAGTTTCACTCTTCCATATAGTGGCTCAGCCTGACCCTGAGTTTTATGAGAGATCTGATGAGTCAGTGGGAACAACAAATACATTAAAATGACTGTGCCCTACTGACAGGAAGAACATTTAGAAGGTCTGAAAAATATTATAAATTACATTCAGCAGGCAAGGCAACTGAAGCACTTTCTAACCTACCAGGCCAAATTATGCTAAACAAGATTTTTTTCCCCAAGATTTTGTTTTTAAGTAATCTCTACATCTAAGGTGGGGCTTAAACTCTAACTCCTAGATCAAGAGTCATGTGCTCCACTGACTGAGCCAGCCAGGTGCCCCTAAGCAAGATTTTTAGAGAGAGCTGGCAAGATTCTTTTTTTTTTTTTTAAAGATCTTATTTATTTGAGAGAGAGGGAGTGAGCTGATAGAGAGCAACAAGCTGGGGCGGGGGTAGGGGGAGAGGCAGAGTGAGAGGGTGAAGCAGGCTCCCCACTGAGCATGGAGACCGACTTGGGGCTCTATCCCAGGACCCTGACCCAGGATCATGACCTGAGCCGAAGGCAGACACTTAACCGATTGAGCCATCCAGGTGCCCCAAGAGCTGGCAAGATTTTACTTCAAGCTACCAATGCCCCTTCTACATGATGGTTAGAAAATATAATTTAAAAAATCACCCTTCCATCTTTTGAGGACCTTTTTTTTTTTTTTTTAAATAACCTGGCCTTTTAAGGCCTTTGAGGCTGTAGCTTAAACAAAGATACTCAGAGGGGTGCCTGGCCAGCTCAGTAAGTACAGCATGCAACTCTCAGGTCCTGAATTCAAGCCCCAAGCTGGGTGTAGAACTTACTTAAAGAAAAGAAAAGAAAAAAGAAAAGGAAAGGAAAGGAAAGATATTCAGGCTAGGACACAGAAGATGGCAGTTATTAAGAGCATGAGAAAAAAGGAGACTATAACCTTATCTAACGAACCCAACAGGGAGCACTCAAAACAAACAAACAAAAAGGATTCTCTCTCCTTCCCTTTGCCCCTCCCATCAAAAAAGAAAAAACAAACAAACAAACAAACAAAACAACCCTTAAATACAAAGAATAAACTGGTGGGTTGCAGAGAGAAGGTGGGTGGGTGGGATGGGTGAGAAAAAAGGGGTTATAAATTTGTGCAGAAGTTGAATCACTATGTTGTACACTTGAAACTAATGTAACATTGCAATATGAACTATAAATAAATTTTCTTAATTTTTAATAGAAAAAAAGGACAGATACAAACTCCCAGTTATAAAATATATAAGTTAGTCATGGAGATGAAAAGTACAGCATGAGGAATATAGTCAATAATACAGTAGTAATGCTATGTGGTGACAGATGGTGACCACACTTATCCTGGTGAGAGTACTGCACAATGCACAGAATTGTCCAATCAATATAGTGTACAACTGAAACTAATATAACACTACTGTATGTTAATTATACTCCAGTAAAAACAAAAACAAAAAAACACAACAAAAAAATAAGACTCAAATCAAAAGACATACACACAAAATGGCTGTTAATATATTTAAAAGCACTTAATCTCACTCATGATTTAAAAAGTCCAAGTAAAAACTGGAGATGTTATCTTCATCTATTAGAGAAAGAAAAAATTGAAGATTGGTATCTGCTTTTTATGATAAGGATGTATCTTTCTGAAGATATGTATACCCTCTGACCAAGGAATTCTGTTAGGCATTCTTCCTTCAAATATACTAGCAATGAGAATGCAAGAATATATGTACAAGATGTTCACTGTAACATAATTTTTAAAAGTAAAACACCTTGAAATAAGTAGTCAAGCATAGGAAACTGGCTGTGTAAAGTTAGAACACAGGAATACAAGGGATTATTATTCTTCAACAAACAAAGGAATAGGCAAATCTTTATGTATTGAAATGTGTCTAAGATAAAATGTTAAGTTAAAGAAAGGAAGCTGGAGTCTGCAGAGTATAACTCCGTGGACAGAAAAAAGAAAGAAGACAGTCATATATAATAAGAAAATGTATAAATAAAAATTTCTAAAAGAATTCCCCAGTTAGTGAGGTGAAGTGGTAGGGAGAAGAGATACTTTAAAGGACTTTACTTTCCTTACATACACTTTTTGTATTGTCTGAAATTCTCACCAGAGCATGTTTTATTTCTATATTTTAAAATTTGTAAGTTCTGAGATGTTGTGCAATTCCTGTTAAATTACTGAAATTTAAAATATGTGATTCCTAGAAGAAAGAAATTTATTTCCATCACTTATTTAACAGATAAAGAACTGGAACATCAACTTCTACATCTTTCTTAAGCTCTTGCTATCCATGAAGTACTTTCAGTAATTAAAAAGTGAGGGTGACTAAAAGACCAAGAAAAATAATAAAAAGGACAAAGTAGCTACAAAGCCCAAGATATGATAGAGTATTATAGTATCTTCTTGACAAAACTATCTTGGAACAAAGAAGCTCTAATTCTTACAGATTTTATTTTTAAAAACAGATTCTATAAATTACTTTTAAATGTACTACATTCGGTCTTAATAATAAATTGCAGAAGTAGTTTCCTAAAACTTACCAAGTTGGGAATGCAAACAGCAGGAAAAAAAGTTGAGGAGTGGAAAGCAGAAAAGGAGGGGATAGAAAATAGAATTAGAAGTGGGAGTAATGTCTGTTAGTATAGGCAGAAAAAGGGTTACTTTAGTGAAAGTCAATCCCCACAGTAATACTATACCTAACAGCTGGCTGTGTTCCCCTGTGATGGAGTTCTGACTCGGGTCTGAAAAACAAACAATTGAAAAGAAAAGAAAAAAATGAATGACCAAAACAAATAATTTCTTAAAAATCAGCAACAAAAGTCAATGAAGGAAATAAGCAAAAAAAAAAAAAAAAAGTTTTTTAATGCTCAAAAAACATTAATAAAAGGATAATATAAATAGAATAAACTATTATAAAAAAAATCACACCGCTTTTTTGAAAAGTTAAGCAACAGAATTACCATGTGACCTAGCAATTCCACTCTTAGGCATATACTCAAAAGAACTGAAAACAGGGATGCAAAACAGACACTTGTATGACAATGTACATCCCAGCATTATTTACAACAGCCAAAAGGTGGAAACAACCAAGTGTCCTTCAACAGATAAATGGATAAACAATAATGCGGTATATACATACAATGGGATATTATTCAGTCATAAAAAGAAAATGCTACAATATGGATGAACCTTGAAAATAAGCCAGAAGCAGGACAAATTTTGTATAATTGCATTTAAATGAAATTTTGAGAAAAAAGTAAATTAAAAAGATAATAAAGATAATTAATTATCTTACATAAAAAGATAATTAAGATCAAGCAATACAAGTTCAATAAAGTAGAATGATTTGGGGCTTACCACATGGGTTACATTTTCTCTTTAATGCCAAAGAAACAAATGGCCATAGGAGCTCAAAGTCAAGACATAAGTAAAGAACTCATTACTACCAGCAGGTATGTTCTGATTCGACTTCATGATAAAACGACTAAACTGGCTTTTATAAATATCTACTTCTTCTAATCTATAATAAAATTAGTGGCAATAAGCCAAGTTCCTAATGCAAGAGATATTGACAATCATCATTTAACAACTAACCACATGGTTATTTTAAAGGTTTGAAAACCATTAAGGGCTAAATATGGAAAAGACTCTGAGCTCCAGTTTCCTCAAAGATTAAGTCTCTTGAGATACTGAGGATTACATATGGCTTCCCTGAATGTGTCTGGGCCGCAAAAGTAATTTTAGACAGGGGGTCTGTGAACAATGGGGAGAAGGCTGCAACTTTATTTTCACTAACCTGTAACTGAAGTTTTTTATTTTCTCCAAGTATGACATCAGAAACAAACTACATAAAAGTACCTGTGCTTTGTCAACAATAAGTACGATTTTTCATATCACACTGTAATTGTTATATATATATCTCTTAATACCATTTAAGTGCAATACTACTTTGAAATTATGGTAGTAATTAAAAGGCTACTAGGTCTTCTTCAATGTACTGATAAAAAAGCATTTATAGGGGTGCCTGGGTGGCTGGCTCAGTGGGTTATGATCTGCCTTCGGATCGGGTCATGATCTCAGGGTCCTGGGATCGAGCCCTGCATCAGGATCTCTGCTTGGCAGGGAGCCTGCTTTGCTTCTTCCTCTCTCTCTGCCTGCCTCTCTGTCTACTTGTGATCTCACTTTCTGTCAAATAAATAAATAAAATCTTTAAAAAAGCACTTATATCATTAGATCACAAACTTAATAATTTTGATAATTGTATTTTAATAGGGTTCTTTTTAATCCTATATATATGTATTTATATGCATGTGTAATACTTTACACATTTAAAAACATTACTCTGAAAAGGAGTTTGTAGACTTCAGACTGCCAAAGAGGTCCCAGATACAAAAAAGATTTAGGATTATTGTTTTATTTATTTATTTATTTATTTTTTAAGTATTTTATTTATTTATTTGTCAGAGAGAGAGAGAGAGAGAGACAGCGCGAGCGAGCACAGGCAGACAGAGCGGCAGGCAGAGGGAGAAGCAGGCTTCCTGCGAAGCTAGGAGCACGATGTGGGACTCGATCCTAGGACACTGGGATCACGACCTGAATTGAAGGCAGCTGCCTAACCAACTGAGCCACCCAGGTGTCCTGGATTATTGTTTTAAACAAAATTCAAATAATACTTCCAATGGTGTTTATAATAATGGTTTTTATACATAATTTAATTAAATCTAACACTTTAAGCATCCCGTACAAAAAGAACCAATCAGAATACTAAACAAATTCTGGTTTCTGATGTACAGAACATATTAATAGTATACTTTACATACTCTAATCAAGGAGGAAATAAGGTAGAAACCTTGTTGATACAACTAAAGTTTTAAATGTTATGTGAACATTTTAAAATATATTTTTAGATTTTCTTCCTTAATTTGGTTTTTAAAAAGATATTCTAAATTTTTATGTTCTCAGATGTTTTCCCCAACATACCACCAAATGGATACTTAGTTTTCAAATTTAAACTCATCTTATTTCTTACTTAAATAAACAATATGGGTTTGTGCATAAGACAAAGTTGGAATAACAGTTCTATAGTATATGTTAGTGTATTGGATTCATCTGTCTCTCTCTCCCTCTCTCTCTCTCCCTCATACACACACACATGCACATAGGGGATAAATTAGGCCCTATCATTACAGAGAAGCAGGTATAGCATGGAAGGAAGAGTAGAGAAAGAATCACAGTTTCAGGGACACCTGGGTGGCTCAGTGGGTTAAGCCTCTGCTTTCGGCTCAGGTCATGATCTCAGGGTCCTGGATCCAGCCCCAAATCGGGCTCTCTGCTCAGCAGGGAGCCTGCTTCCCTTCCTCTCTCTCTGCCTGCCTCTCTGCCTACTTGTGATCTCGGTCTGTCAAATAAATAAATAAAATCTTTAAAAAAAAATCACAGTTTCAGAACCAGAATAACTATGGTCATCATCTAGCTCTACTCTAGTGATTCCAAAGGAAAAGCTTGAAAAATCACCAGCACCATCTATTTTTTCTCCCTAAAATAATATCAATAATCCGTTTTAAGATTATGATTCTCAGACACTGTCATTAATGGGAATGCCTCTTATGTATGTTGGGATGGGGCAAAGCTTAGACTCTCTTAATATTTACAGTTGAGGGGTGGTTGGTTAAGCATCTGCCTTCAGCTCAGGTCTTGATTCTGTGGTCCTGGGATCTAGTCCCACATCAGGCTCCCTGTTCAGTGTGGTGTGTGCTTCTTTTCCACCCTCTGCTCCTACCCTTGCTCATGCTTTTGCTTGCTCTCTCTCTCAGATGAAGAAATAAAAAAATCTTTAAAGAATATTTATAGTTCAGAAGATGAATGCTGTTAGTAAGTGGCCAAAGACATGGCACACTACTGTCAAAAGAGAAAGCTTAGGGAGATAATCTTAGGCTTTGGGGACCTATCTTCATGTTTCTTGGTACTCTGTAATTCTAACTTTTTTTGTCCTGAAATGAGAAATAGCCTAGGGGTGCCTGGGTGGCTCAGTGGGTTAAGCCTCTGCCTTCGGCTCAGGTCATGGTCTCAGTGTCCTGGGATCAAGCCCCGCATCCTGCTCTCTGCTCAGTGGGGAGCCTGCTTCCTCTCTCTCTCTGCCTGCCTCTCTGCCTACTTGTGATCTCTGTCAAATAAATAAAATCTTAAAAAAGAAAAGAAAAATAGCCTAGAACAAGTTATTTGGAATTGCCAGGGAATCTATGAGTAAAAATAGAAGAACATCTCAGATAACTTGGGCAGAATAGATATGATTTTAGATGGGGAAATACAATTTTTCTCTTACAAATTACTTCCTTCGATACTATATACTCTCTTGTCTTCTAAGCTGTGCGTATATGCCATACATGCATTTTCTACGCAGGCCAGGCCTCTTCCTTTGAACACCCTCCTATGTTTGAGATGAGTAGAAATTACTCTTTGTGTAGTTCCCTGCAAGTTCAACTTGGATTTCTGTTTTTCATTTTTTATAATTAAAGGAATGTAGGGCAACCTTTACCTAATACTTCTTTGGTAATTTGAAGACTAATCTCCAAGAACTTGCCAGTACTTCACTGATAAACATAAAACCCAAAACAAGGGCAAATCTAGGAGTAAACGGATTCAGAATCCATGAGAACGAAATCAGCCATGCCTATAAAAATCACAATTGGTAAATGGGTTTAAGTTGAGGGGTGTTTATGGGTATGCAGTCCAAACTGTGTAATCAACATGATAATACTGCTCTGAGATATGTCTGTTATGTCACCTGTTTATTGTCTAATGTCTGAACTCCACCATTTAACATTTTTCCTGCTATGTCACTGGTGAGGGCACACCCAAGTCTGCCAAAGACTGGGAGTTGTCCTACACATTACTCAAAATGACATTTATTTTAACCAAATTACTTCCTGTAATAGAAACAACTTGCCAATAATATGACTATTTTTACCTTTGATGGCCTTTATAAACTAAGCTACTCACAGGTTACAACTCAAAAGGTTATACCAGGTTATACTCAAAAGCCTTTGATACTATATCAGTCAAAAATGGTAGTTCAAATAAAAGCACGTACCTTTTCACATGTAAATACAATCAGAAAAATGACCTGAAAGTATTTCCTTGTTATAGAAATGATATAGTAGTTTTATAAATGGGCACTTTCTCAGTATATTTCATTTATCCTGGGTAAATGGTAAAGAATGGAGATTTTATTTAGTTTCTTGTCATGTGCCTTGGAGAATAGAGAGAAAAATGATTGTGGGTGGTACCAGCTTGCAAAATTGCCTCTGTAAATAGTTTTTCTGAAGAGCCTTATTATCTCCCTTAGTTTTGCCCATAGCAATAACCTTTTTCTGAATTTCCTTTGCTAATTACTTCATCTACCATTCTTGGTAGAGAATTTGAAGCAAATAAAGGCTAGCTTGTACCTTGCATCTGAAACTCAGCGTAGCAGGTTTTAGTCTTCATTAAAGATAGTATCAGTAATTTCATTAAGTAACACAATCAATAGTGGAAACTTTTAGGCCTAATTATCTAGAAAAAGTAGGCATGATCAAGTGCATATTCATGAGGACAAGAGGCTCATTATAGTCTATATTATCTAGACATACCTTGAATACAAGGATACAAAATACCTGAAATCACTAGTCTTAACACATTCCTAATTCTCTGGACTCCAACTTTTAAAAAGCCCAAGTAACATTATGATAAGAAACTCTTCTGA